AGCACGCGCTTCTATCGCGACAGGCCTGCGCAGCGCATGGCGCAGCCACGCCGTTGTTGCCCCCTCCGCCACGCCCCTCCACTCCAAACACGCACGCCACAGCACGGCAGCGCTGTTTTGTTCCGTTGTGGATTTGCAACTCCACGCACGACTTCTTTAGCGCGCGCAACAACCTTGGGAGGGGTTTGCCAGACAGGACGCCTTCCGTTGCCTTGATGCAAATAAAAAAGACAAATTTAACATAAACAACGAGCATGGTTTCTGAATTTGATGGAGCTGGGGAATACATTCCTTTCTGCTGTATGAAAATGATTCTTCCTGTACAAGAAAGTAAAACTGGTTTGTAAATAATGATTGCCTTCGAGCACCAAGGTCAATAATGTGGATAGAAAATTCTGCGGTGTTGTCGTTTGTTTGCTTCTTTGCCTTCATGTCTCATGGTAACCTGCAAAGCAAAACGCCAGTTACAATTTCTTGAAATAAAGAAAATGGCTTTTCTGTATTCTGTAAAGTTTGGTTTATTCGCCCAAGATCGATTAATTATTGATTTTAAGTATCCTTAACATTAAACATCCAATCAAAGAGAAAATCAGCATAACGGGATAGTTTATAGATTCGTACACAGGGCCTTAAATTGTTGCATCCCGTTCACCTTGAGCACAACTTAACAATAGTTTCTACAATACTCTCTGAGGACAATTATCCTAAGAATTTTATCAACAAATATGTAAGTAAGAGGAGAGCTTGCATATTAGGAGAAATAAATAGCCCGTCAGAACAGGTACTCGAGGAAAAAGAAAAGATTATTCTTCCTTACATACCGAATGTTACCAACAAGATAAAAAAAAAAGAAGCTAAAGAGGGACGAAATGAAGGTTGTGGCTAGACATATCATTACAAATAAAAATAATCTGATAATCAATGCCAATGAATAAAATTACTTAATTAGATGTCGAAAAGTTGTTTATGGTATTCAATGTCCAGATTGTGAAAAAACCTGCGTGAGGTCAAACGAAACGGAAAATTAGAACTAAATTGAATGCACACAAAAACAACGTAAATGAAATCAGAGATAAGTTTAATATAATGATTTTGCCTAAACGTAGACTGAATTTGTCATACACTTTCGATTTTGATAATCAACGCATATTTGACAATGAACCGAGATCTTATGCCCGATTAATATCGGAAACATTATTCATCAAGAAAAATAATACTATTCTGAATAATATTCTACAACAATCAACCGAGATCCTGTGCCCGAATAATATCGGAAACATTATTCATCGAGATAAATAATACTGTTAACTCAATGTTAGAGAGTAATATATTTATCAAGGCATATGATCACATCTTAAATGAAATCAAATAATCATTAAAGTCCAATTTGAGACATAATTTGCATTTTCCTCGTGTCTAGATATTAGATGTCATTGTTAAAATCTTACCTTTTGAGTTTTAGTGTAGGCATTTTCATCCCAGTAACAATCAGTAATTTTCTGTTTTTCCGCTTTCATCAATCCTTCTCAACTGCCCCCCCCCATCAACGGAATAATTCTCCTCCTCCTCTTTCTCTTGTTTTCCTTTTTCCTCACCCCATTCCTCGCGGTTCTCTCTTCTCCTTCAACGGAAAGCCCCTTAAACTGACAGGCCATAGTAGACTGGGACTTCTGGTCCTCTATTTCAGTAAAAGCTGAAACAATGGGTCATCTTGGCTTAATTATGACTGTCTGCACCTAATATGTGCATATTTTATTACCTTTCATTAACTTTTTATAAAGGAATTTTTGTTGCAATGGAACAACGTGAGCCTCAAAACCTCGCTGTACTTTGTACTTATGGGTTTATTTGTTTACTTGTACTTATTTGTTAATTTTGGTTCTTGTTTCACTTTAATATTTAATCTAGTTAAAAATTCTTGTTTTATAGACAGTGCATGAAGAAGGGACACAAAGTCACGAAACGATGTACCTCTGTTCTAGAATGAAACATAAATAAGTGCTTTTTATTTCAATCTGTGTTCGTCTGCCTTTTATTAATTCCTGTTTTTATCTATGATTGTGTATTATAAGAAGGATACTTAAAATCAATAACTATTTGAACTGACTATCTATGAACTACTCGAAATGTTATATCTATCAATTATATTATTTTACATTCATAGTCGTGCTAGTGAAATTGTTTATAATACACCTGCCGTCCTAATAGCCAAAACTGACAATTGACTTGTAGTTTTGTCATAGACAGTATCGTTGTCAGAACTGTTATGAATATTAACAAAGGAGGTTTCTTTGTTCCCTTTCCACGTTAGATAAATGGGAAACTGGTCTTTTTCTTTGAGATGTTTATACATTTAAAATAAATTCCTTCACAGAGTTAAAATATAAATATATTTTCAAGGCAGTACATCGTTGCAGAAATACGAAAATCGTAAATACTGATAATGGTTGGTGCAACAACAAAGTAACCAAACTGTAAATGGATTTTCCTGAGATGTTTTTGGGAGAACTCGGGATTCGCCATGGATTATTTGTAATTAATAATTATATTTTGTCAAGAAGACGCTAAAACAATAAATAGAGGATGTAGTAAAGAATAATTGGATGAGTGATTGCCGGAAACCTTGTTTCACATTCCCCCTGCATTGCATTAGTTATCGTAACCTAAAAATATATCGTGACAAAATCAGCCCTTCTTGAAGGGATGTTATTCGCGATGCGAAATGCTTTGCATCGCTCGACAGTTTTCCATTAACATGTTCCGTTCCAAAATAGCAGAGGTCGGCCGCTAATCACTGTAGCATTAGCGGCATGGAAGTAATAGCGCTCCCAACAAAGGAGTGACGCGTGGCAGCTTGTGGCGCAGCCGCGCTGCGTGCTCTATGGCAGCGCTCTCCTGTCCCCGCTCTCAACCCTCGCTGCTGCCCCTCGCCCCGCGCCGCGCTCGGCTCCGCTCGGCCGCGCACGCCATCATCAGCTGTGCGCAGGCCCCGCCCCCGCGAGCCATGGCTGCCCTCTGCCAGCTGGGAGCGCGCTGCAGCAGCGCCGATCAGCTGGCCGCCCACCAGGCGCGACGCCACCGCCGCCGCACCGCCGCTGCTTTGTCTACCAACAGGACGGGGCGGTGACGTCACTAACGCTCGCTGCAGGGCCCGCTGGCGCTCAGCCTCGAGCGCTCTCGCTCGCTCGCGCTGGCACGCGCTCTCTCGCGCTTGTTTCGGGGCCTCGCGCGACTTCGTAGCATTCAGGTATCAACCAGAGGCCAAGGACATACATGCGACAAGGGATATTGTACAAATGCGCGATGAAAAAATATATCAAAAAATATCCACGTGCATGTTTTCTACGGCGCGGCTTTTAAGCGTCAAAATGGTATCTATGGAGGCCTCGAGGAACCAGGAAGCGGATGCAGTGGCTTATGAAATAAGAATAGGTCGCCTTCTTATTTCGGAGCTAAATAGTTTGTTTTTTTCTCATTCAAATTTTAAAAAGGGAAAAAAATATAAAACAAGTGATATCACTTTTTAAAATGATGCTGAGACTGCATTAAATATCTGATCGTATGAACATATCACTCGTTGTTTAAGCAAAATCCTGGAAGATGGAGAATCCAAAAAAATGAGATTAGAAGTTTCCAGGGTAACCTGGTCATTTCACAAATTTTGAAATTCTTGTAGAATTAAATAATAATGTAGTTATGCACCACGACCCTATCACATTTTTTCGGGCTCGCTTTACTCCCTTCCTGGAAGCTTTTATTTTTATATCTTGATATATAAATAATAATAATAATCAGGTTTTCATTTTACCGGAGACTGGTCAGAGCTTCTCCCGGCTGGGGTGGTGCCCCGCTGGTGGATGATACCTGGTTGGGAAAACCCCGCTAGCCGACAGGTAGGGCGGCGCCGGATCTCACCATTCAGCCACCTTCCGAAGAAAACATACACTACACTTACAGGACTCATGACCTTATTCGTTGACGTGCCCGGAATAATCTGTCAATGAATCGAAAAGTTGCCATATCCGATTTTATCTGCAGTGTCCCATGTCATCTGTGCTCATCCGTAATACTTTCACATTACTCGCAATCCATATTAATGGTGGTTAAAATGTGTTCATCCTTTTCATAAACTTAAATGTTCTTAAGTATGTATCGTTCCGCGTTATATGCACCAAAATTGGGAGCAAATGGTTAAATCGTACTTTCTGCGTGAAGATAATAACGATGACCTGTTACAAAAACAATTAATTTTATACAATTTCCCACATTTGCCGCGCCTGAATATTCTTAGAAGAAAGAGGAAATTATAGTTACGATTTTACCTAGACCACTTTTTGCCCTAAACGTCCATTTCATGTTTTGTTATTCATGAACTATATTTTTTTAACGGCAGTACTTTCACTATTTAATTTTAAACCCTTTAATCCTTCATTTTCCCTAACTGAAAGTTTTAATTGATCAAAAATATTGAGAACATAACTTTTCGAGGAGAGGTATTTTTAACTTTGTCCCCACGGAAACCTTTACTGTTATAAATAGTTAAAGTTTTGACATAAATGAACTAAACTCCATCAGAGAGGCGTGTAATAAAACATTTACTTACTCACCATCTGACGAGTTCACGCGGCGCGGCGCGGGGGCAGGTCTGCGTCTAACATGGGGTGACCGCTTAAGCGCTGTGAACACTTAGCCCCGCCTTCCCTTCACTATTAAAGGGTATTCTTTCTCAATTACATTCGTCATTGAGATCATTTGCAAATATTTGATTGCACTCCATCCGCATATTTAAAATTTTACTGAAAGAAAGCAAAGTGAATTTACGCGTAATGCAAACAATCAAGTTAGTAAGACTGGCAATGGGGAAACATTCGTATTTGAAAGTTTTGTTGCCTACCAACTTCATGGTGTGATCCCATGTAATTCACTGTTCTTGTCTACAGGATGAAAATAATACTAATTCACTATTTTCGTATCATAATAATTTAGTTTTAATTTGAAAATTGCCATTAAATTAACATGAAACTACTCACAGAAGATATTTGAGATTTGTTCATTAAATTAATATAACAAAAATGTACCGCTGTAGGTTTTGCCACCGTGGTTTCTTGCAGTTCTCTTAATGTCCCTGGCCTCTCCCACCTCTTCTCGCGTCAATACTCCCCAGACTATTGGATCGTTCCTCCGAGTCTCTTCTCTATGCTGAGCTTCCTCTTCTCTGGCAAGGTGCTTTCATTATGCCCCGCCGGCTTCTTCTTGACATGTGTTGTTAGGAACTGGGAAGTGTTTATCGTTTATTGTTCTCTACCGTTTCACATCAACAAAATTTCATTAATATTTTTACATTCAAAACCAATATTTAATGCAAAGTGAAATAGGCCTCGTAACATAACTTGAAAACCTAAACCATATTGTTGATCCGTAGCAGTGGATTCACAAGTTTGCAGACCCCGAGCTAAAATATTTTCGAGGCCTTCTTTTTTACTGGCATCAATAACACTTTTGAGATTGGAAAGTTTAATATGCTTTTCCTCAAAATTTATATATAATGTATGTGTTTGTGTGAAACTAGCTGCAATATAATCCAGCACTACATTAATCATTAATAAAAACAAAACTCACTAAACGTGCCGTTCAAGCGATTTTTTGTTCACAAAGTCGAAATCGTATCGTCGGAAGATAAAACCTCAGAGCTTTTCATTTTGACTGAAAATTATTGGTAGTGAATTGAGTTTGTCTTGTTCCGTTGTATCTCGATACTAGTTTTTACCCCTTTACATTACTAAATGATTTTGTATAAGTACAATTTGTAATCATTAAAGTTAAAATAAATTCGAAAGGCAACCTCTTCGTGACTCGAACATCAATGGTTGTACGACAAACGTCAGGTATGTAAAAAGATACCAGTTTTGACCAGATATGCCAATCATAATTCTGTGACGAATTTAGTTATGCACCCGACAAGTTCAAAACATAATAGACCCCACATGAAAATGAAAATCCCGGTCTTAGAATTAATCTCTTGTTAACTCCAATATCGTGATTATCTAATTTCATTTCTTTGCGGAAACTGTCTGTAAATTTGTACATCTGCATAATTTCTTTTAAAAAATTTGCAACTTTATTTAATATTTTTTTAGGCCTATTGAACTCTGTGACCCCAGGCTGTACCTAATTTAGTTTAACGGTAAATCCGCTACTGCTAGTCCGCAGCAATGGAAACATATGTAAAAATAGGTCATTTTTTGAGAGTTTTGCACTTTCTAACAACGTAGTTTGCACATTAAGCGCGTGTGAAGTGAAACTATCACGTTGAACACTAAAGGAAATGATCACAAGAGTCGCATCTGGTTTCGACTGTGATAGGAAGAGGCATTATATGTTTGTATGTTTCGATTAAAGATAAAGATGAAGAGTTGAAGAGGTAATTTAGCGAATTATGATTCATTTGTACAAATATGAGAAAACATTAATCGATTCTCGTCCATCCCATCTCTCTGCAAACCAACCCCAGATCCCACAGAGTATTTCTCGCTGTAATAACGTTTAAACACACTTTTAGTCATTTATTTATATTTTATGTACCTACCATCTTATAATTCAGGTTAAACATATAATTAAAAGATAATACTTAAGGTTACTCACTGGCGATTTTCCACGAAATATTGAAGCAAGCTTAATGCAATATCCCTGATTTATTTTTGAAAACACAAACAAACGCGAAGACGCGAAAATGACTGTTGTGGTAGGTAGCAGAAAGTCACTCGCCTCTAAAGGACTCCGAGGGAGATTCCATTTGGTTATACAATGCCGCCTTATGACTAAAAGTGATCAGAACTCTTTTATTGAGTAAGTGTATTTTGTAACCAAATGTCTGCCATTCCTAAGTACATTGCTTTTGCAATTAAGAACTATTTCATTTATTCCATTAACTTCAATACTGTCGTTATTATTTATTTATGTACACTTTATTATTGGCAGTGGTGTCATATTTTGAGAAGTGGTCATACTGCAGGTGATTCATTTCTCATTATTATCTTATTGAAATTAATAAGATTTATTTTTTTGTAAAGTTTGTAATCAATTTCTAAGGATGCATGCTAAAACCTGATACTGTATGTCAACAAATGCCATTCTGTGATATTCATGTCCACAATTGCATTGATCAATACTGACTTTTTTGTTTGCGAAAATGAACTCTTTTGAACATTTTGAAGAAATATTAAAAATTACATTGTTCTTGAAGTTGTAAAACAAATGAACTAAGGTGCTTAAATATTGTCTCCCTACTCTATTTCGTTACTTATGCACCAATAAAGCAACACAAATCTGAAAATCTTTGTTAGTAGCCTGGAACATTTGACCTAAGTGTCCGGGCATCTATTTATCGGTATATTTTTAAATGATTATATAAATCGTAAAATCACTTACTTTGCTACCTTTAAAAAAGGCCTTAAATTCTTGTTTTATCTTTCTCTCTGAAAATATTAGCAAGTGTGAAGCTCAAATTGGATTTAAAACGATCTCGTGGTAGTGTGTTCGAGTAATATTGTATTAAAAAATGTATACTTTAATAGTGTAAAACTGGCTTGATTAATAATAAACTTCCTTTCATGCCTGTAGAAAATAAGTATCACACAAAATAATTTTTGTTATCACAATTCATATCACTTTAGATATCACATATCACAATAGATATCACAATATCACGATCGTGACTCTTTCGTGTACATTCAGATGTAACTCAGTATGACATTTATGATTGGTGCAAAGGTGCACTTCTGTGTCAATCCAATTGAACGGTGTATCTTCTTTTTTACGGATTGAGAGAAGTACTCTTGACAAATGAAGCAGTCTTCTCTCAAAGAATCGTAACGGTAATCGGCGTCGCCGGACCTCGCTTTGTACCGTACGACATGCGTTTTAAATTTCAAGATTAGAAGCAGTCAAAATATCAGGATACCAAATGTAATTTCGGGATATACGCTAGAATCAGTTTATATCCAAATCCATTGAATTTTGCAATCGTTGGAATATTATCTCTTGAGAGAGAATAAACAAAACCAACAAGAATCTTGGCCTGGCAGGTTAGAGATGGGCTGTGCGCCAACATCCTATTTCCGTAAATAAAACGGACAAGTTAACCCTTCTACTCAGTTTCTACGTTACTTACGTGGATTCTGTTCGGGACATTTTTTACTCCACACGTTTTGTACAATATTTTACAAGTACTTTATGCAAGGATGTCAATTAGAATTATTTTGGAATTTTATTATATTTATCAAAAATTATATAATTTTATTATATTTATAGTATTAAAATCAAAGAATGATATAAAAAACTTACTATAAGTGGAAAAGTGTTTACAATTTAGTAATAAATAAAACAATGCAATTCTCCAAATTTCATTATTGACGCAGAAACATTCCAGCATATTCTGCAAACTGTAACCAGGTGCATAACATACCCCCATGTTAACAAGAATTTTGAAACAGGCCTGACAACCCCTAATAGAAAAATATGCCAGGTTAGCATACAGAAACAACAACACAATACTATAAAATGGAAATTGGAACGTTTTTAGAATCTGCCTCGGTGGAACAATTCTTAGTATTTTACTGTCAGCGTTTGATCTAGTTGCTGTGACTGAAGATAATATTATATGCTTAAAATATTAAGACGTAAATTTGATTTGTGAGGATTGTAAATTAAAGTACCCAAAACAAGATATTTGTTAACAAGAGGATATGGAAATGACATATGTATTGAAAATGAACAAAAAATTGAATATGCAGCGAATTTAGCTTCAGAGTTACAAATGAGGGCACAAATGATAAAGACCTTATGAATAAGATCGAATCAAGGAAAACAAGACAATAATATAAACACCATATTGTGGACTTCCCAGCTATCAAAGAAAACCAAGGAAACTTTATATTGCGCCATAATTAAAAGTATTGTCATACACAGTTCAGAAGTTCTCAAAAAAACAGATTATTGAAATTGAAATGGGACTTTCTGGGTCGGATTTGAACAAATAACACAATGAGGAAAGAAAGAGCTTAGACTTTTCAAGAACATAATAGGTGCAATAGATAAAAGATTTGACAATCGTAGCATCTGTAGAGAACGCCAGTCACGGGTTGGCCAAAACAAATACATACATATTGGACACACCATATAGAAGAGAGCCATCTCCCGTTGAAAGCAAGGAATACTAAACGCCATGGAGAAATTGCATTCAAAAAGTTTTTTATTTTTTTAAAATTTATTCTGGCATTGGCCATTGACATCGGCTCTCTGCAGCCGCATAAGATAAATTCATTGATTTATACAAGAATCATTTGGTACATTATAGACAGAACTTAGGTTTTAGATATAATACAATACAGTGGTTATATACAGTAAAACAACATTTTGTTGATGTTTGATTTGGCTGCGGCAGCCCACACTGGGGAAGCATAAGAAAGTATGGTTCGTTTCATTATTTTATACAGGTGAATAGCAACATGTAGTTGTAGGGGAGATTTTTTCTAAGAATCCGATATAATTGGTGGACTCTACTAGACGCTAGCGCTATTCGGTATTTTATATTTTGACGCCATGTAAGCCTTTCATCCCCAAGATACAAGCCAGTGATATTTGACTCCAAGATATTTGACAAACTTTTAAGCATATTATTGCAGAAACGATTGGTTGTTGCACTTTAATGTTTTGGTATATTAATTCCTTAATGATAGCCACGTCACGAAACTCTGGTCCCGACCAATTTCTCTGCTCCAAGCTTTCTATGCTTGTTAGTGGCATCATTTATTCTGAACAGTATAAAACAGTAAATACTTCAAGCGGTGGTGTATAGAAAATCAGAATATCGAATTCGGGTATCTGAGTGCGTTCACGGAGGACGACTTTTACTGATATAGTGCCGTTGTTTTCCGATAGCATCTTACCCACTGACCCATTTACACCACAGTCAGGAACCCAACATTCTATTTGGCACATCTCTTAGTGCTAAATTCTAGAAAGTGATCTTCCTCTGTGGCGTGTCGAGAACGAAAGACTAGGCTGGCTACGACACGTGTTTTCTTGTGTTGCAACCGTTGCCGATAAAGAACGCATTAATCCTGAAATTGTATTAAACTTCCAGAGTGACACGTGCATTTAATTTCATATGGTGGTAGTGTGCGTACGTGCCGCCTCATATCTCATAACTTCATAGCGGAATATCATACTGTCACATGTGCACAGAGATAAGTATTATCGGTTTCGTTTGCAATCCCCGAATGTAGGCACCCACTACAGGGACCTATCTAATCACTGGGAAAGTGGGAAGGTACTACGTTCCAGCAAATAGGGAACGTTCTCCCTCATGAATTACTACCAAAGATTGTCCAGAAACTCGACAGTGTAGTTTTATTTGCTATGGGCTCTCGTTCCTTCACATTATCTAGTCGTATGTTTGGTTGGAGTTCTATGCTTTATGACACCATTTATTGTCACAAATAATACCTAATCGAGCATTGCCAGGCCAATATCCATTAATATGATATTACGAGAATATTCTTCATAATGCTGTTGAGCATAAACAAAACTCATGTAAAAGTAAGCAATTATACGAATTCAAAATTAGTGTTGTTGTCAATGATTTTTTTCATATTGTGATTCTTGTGTTACTGAAACATTATCAAATACTGTCATCACTATCACAACCTACACCAACACTATCACCATCATCCTGCTGGTGATGGAAATCTCACCATTAAGGACGATTAACTACAAAGACGGCTAATGCCCCCAAAATATGGGGGTTGAATCTTCGAATGAAGTAATGTAATTACTTAAACCCAAAACGTTAAAATATAATGAAACGCCAGCACCAATATGAATTAATTAAAGTTAGTCTCAATGCAAAATTATAACTACGGGTAAAAATCATTTGAAATTAATGGACAATATCGGATGAGATTGTTACTTTGTTGAGATAGAAGATATTATTAGAATTTGTTGGTCCCGGTTCACGAGCACTTGGGTTTCCTTTGAAGGCAGCATCAATGACGACTTCAACAATATTAACTAAAGTAATGAAACGTTCGCAAAAAATAATTGTTGGTCAAATTCTCACATATTCGTGCGCGCAATGACGTAGGATAAAGATGAGCAGTAAAGTTTTTTTTATTTTATTTTTTTAACATTTGTTGCGTTTTCAAGCGCAACGCGTCTCTTAACCCGTATTGGGCGTTGAGCACTCTTGGAGTAATCCTCCGTTACTATTTAGTCCTTTAGTACTCTAAGTCCTCGCTGAGCCTTAGTACGTCGTTGTTCAGAGAACCGCCAGGTAGCATTTCCGCGTACGAGCCTCCAATACGTGATCCTATGTCACTACGCAGCGACCAGAATTAGGAAGGGTTCACGCACAAGGGATAATCTACAAAAAAAAGAACGTATGAGAAGCATAGTATTTGTCTAAAAGAAACTGCACCAATAAAATATACACTATCAATCAACAAACTTAATACCTAATGGCAATATCGTCAAATTCAAGATCTTCAAAAATATCTTTAATCTTTCGTATATCTTTAATGACGTTCAAATTATTAAAATTAAGACGCATATATAGTGTTCTCCGTAGGCCAAGATAGACAACTTGTATTTCTCCGAATAGTTGAAGGGAAGCCGGCGATTACGTCCCTATACGCTTCGTCGACAGGTTGTGGCGAATTCTAGGTATCGTGGCAGTTCTAACACGAACCAAGCAAGATCGAATGCGATTGAACTCTCGCGCTATGAATAAGGACATGCGACCTATCGGCAGCCTGGACTTCGTAATTTTTACCTTTTCTTGATTTCCACTTTTATTACGTTTAGTTTTATTTATTCAAAAAAGTTGGTTGAGTTTCATTATTTTAGTGTTTTCAATTTAGGGAATTACATTTGTCATTCGATGGATTTGTAATACCCGTAGATTTGGACTCCTTTCATATCAGCCGCCTTTGATTTAATGTACGTGACTCATCCGAAAAGTCTTTGGCATACTCCTTACAAAATGCGCTCCTATCGTCTACTAGTTCGTAAATATTTAATTCGCACACCAACTACTTTCTGTATTAGTTTTGTAAATAACTATTGTAGCACATTATTCCTGGGTGTTCTTTTTTGCAAACAATCTCATTCATGTAAACACGTTCGAAACGTGTTCGCCAACCAACTACAAAGCAAGCAACCAGCCGGAGCTGATGTTCCATCGGTTTACTTGTTATGGTTCGGGCCCCACAGACTAAAGAAATAAAATGACCCTGCACTTATATCAATTGGCATTACGTAACAGTTCTGAACTTAGTACCATCACCATTAGTTGACTCAACGAAAAGAATGCATGTAAGTACAAGATTCTTACATCGACGTTAGTCTATAGAGTGCATTGCGAATAAAATAGGATATTTTCTGTTGTTGGCATCTAGATAGTTTAGCGCAGCCACTTACAATTTATACATTTACTGGCGTTTGCTATGTTCACGTCTAAGAAGATTGAAATAATAGAATATTGTGAGGTGGTACACCTATAGTTCTACTACTATTGACTTACTATGAAACTCTTATCATAGTATGTCAATAGTGAGACGCCGTCGAGGGCTTGTTTAACATTTAAGTCACACGAACATTACTGATAGTTGCTGCTCGATGCTTAGTTTTTATTTTCCCCATAACATGGTTACAGATATTCATGATTGAATTGATGCACATTCACCTTTTTGTTGATAGAAGAGAAGCGCATATTTTGAGGATTATTTTTGTTCAGATTCCGAAGGTGTTTGTGCAGGGATTTTTAAAAATACTGGATCTGCTTTCGTACGCAACATGTGCTCGAGACCATAGGAGAGCTGGCGAGAAGGATGCTTAGGTGGGAGTGGGTAACGGGAGGGGGGAGAGGAAAGAGGAGAGGTGGTGGAGCTGTACAAGACCGAAAAGGAGCCGCTCGCTCTGGGTGGTTGCCAACGCCGGAAATAGCAACAGCGGCGGCGGCGGCATCAACAGCGATGGCAGCGGTGGAGGCAACAGCAGCTGCGAACGGACGGCCGGGCTGCTCAAGGATGCACTTCGAAGCGTCCACTTGTTAGCTGCGGTGATGCGTTCGCGATGCCTGCACTGGGAGACTCGAACCCTGCTCCGTTCTATCAGCCCAGACTTCACATTCCACGCCTCTCCGCCCGCACCCCTCCGCCCGCACCTCTCCGCCCGAGCCCTTCTGCCCGCGTTCCTCCGCCCGCACCTCTCCGCTCGCGCCTTTCCGCCCCCCCCCCTTCGCGTGCACCCCTCCGCCCGCGCCCCTCCGCCCGCGCCCCTCCTCCCACACCCTATAGAATGTGTCGTGGATAGCTGCTATCATAAATGGATTATTTTTCCTTGGTGTTCAATACTTTCAGAATTATGCTGATGGTGAAATTTCCAAGGAACAAACTTGTTGGAATATATTTTATAAAACTAGAAGGTATTTGGATTCTTAGGTGTTTCCGTATTAGATATGGAAGGAGAAAGAAAGCATAAGGATGACCAGCTTGGAATTTGTTTCATTATTTTCGTATCTCTCCGAAATCATCTTGGGTGATATGAGGAAGTATTATGAAAGATGCTTAGGGAATTGAATGTATATAGTATTTTCCCCCAGAAGCGAACTTCAGTCGGTCGAGTGAATTTGAAGCATTCAAATGAACGAAGGTTCAGTAGTATGGAGTAATGAACATAATTGTATTTTCTGATGGTTCAGCTAAGATCCCATACGATGTTCAATTCTGTTTTTATCTTTTGGGCCATCGTTAGCTTATTGTTCAATAGAAAGTTTGAAAATGCGAAAATTGTTGATTGCACATCGTTCGAACGCTGGAAAATAGATTTAGGATTAATCTCTAAAAATACATGTAAACAATTAATAATTGATGCGTAATCACATTGTAAACATATTAGCAGACCGTAGAGGAAAACCCTCTTATCTATTTACTTGATCATTAAAATTACTAATAAACCATTTTTTTCACATTCCCGTCAGCGAGAACAGATTCTTGAAGGCAGGACCGCGCGCGATATGTAGGCGGTTGTTAAAGTCCTGCGCCGGAATCGATCTAAAACTGACAATATTTTGTCTATTATTCCATTATTGCATACTGCAATTAGAACTGAAAACACTGATAGCTCTTCAGAAATTATTTAATAAGATATAATGAAAATTACATTGGGCTGAGACAAAATATTCAGTTTCTTGTTCTTTTCAAGTTCTTGATTTAATAAGGAACCGAATGATATATTTCTCAGCCTTATAGAAGTAGTTGTGTCACACCCTTATTCCGAAATTACTTGTGTGTATATTTATACGAATAGTTAGAATCTCTTTTTCAAGAATAACCCGAAAACAGACAACGGAGTTTTTCAAGGCACATATTTGTGGTTTTTAAATTAGTAACAAAGGTAATTTTGTCATAGTATACTACATTTTGGCCAGTGAAAAGTAACATTTTTTATCAAGATGTTCAGAAACTTCCTACAATTGAACCTTCCTACAATTCAGAAACTTCCTACAGTGATTCTTCCTATAATATCAGTAGCTAGTACACACTTGTGACATAAAGCAGGTGTGGAGATGATTGCTTGCATATTTGTAAAATTGTCTTTTTTCTTCCACTTGGGAAATTAATATTTATAGACTTATTTTAATTTCTATTTCTTTGATCGCTTTGTGCAGGCAACTTAGTTTGTAAGTCGGAGTCTCCTTGCTTCATGATAAGCTGATTGAGCTATACCTACGGGGTTTCCAGGCAAAGAGCTGTGGTGCTGACCGAAGACGGAGACCAGTTGTGTGCATGATGCCGCCCAGCCTCTGTGGCAGTTCCTTTGCCGAAGAACGTGTGTTCGAGGACTTGGGCGAGTAAGGAAGCGGCGAAGAAACCGGGCGTGCGGCCAGCGATCACGCGATCAGGGGTCCTAGAAACATGGCCGGAGCACCCTGTGTCCACACGCCTCTGCAGCTCCCAATTGCTTCCCGCTCGCAACTTCAGTACTCTTGGTAAGAAACCTGAACAGCAATATAGTAACACAGCGCCCTCGCAGTAATGCAAACAACTGAATGGTTTGTGTGCAGTATGATTTGGTGAATTTGGTGGGTAAGTGGTCAGTGTGACTTGGTGAATGAATTGCCATACACAAATTTGTATTAGAACCTTAATGGCAAATCATATTTTACAATCAACCTGGTGTATATATTTATTTACTTATTACAATCTTTTCATTATCGATTCGAGAAGGTATGAAAAAGTATCATTATGGTAACATGTTTGTAAAAAAACATGAAATTTATAGTCACGATTTCTTCTCCTTTAGTCTTCTTTCAAGTGCCTTTTATAGTTTAATTACTCACGTTTGGTGGCAATACTGCTCTATAAGGGGAAAAACACGATCCCCTTGTGACATGTTTCTCCAAGGTTATGTTGGTTGATTATAAAATCAAAACCGGTCGGTAGCACATGAGATAAAACATGACTACTGATTACGTATTACTTGGGTATGTTTTTTCAAATCTGAGATTTATTATATTTGGGGGCGTTACATATACATTCGGCAATAACTTTAATTTCTAAAATTGTTAATGTAGTATAAAGTAGGGGAGAGTGAGTACTTATTATTATATTATAATAATTATATATACATATATTACATTATAATATTAAAATATGTATAATATTTTAATACTTTTTATTTATCACTTGCCAAGACACGAACGTACACATAAGAATGCTCTCAGAAGTTTAATAAACAAATACTTTTTAAGTAGTGAAAACTTCAAAAGCACAATTGAAAGATTTGCCATGACTAATGCCATCTGTACTGTTCATCGCGTGTTGATGTTGGATTCATAAAATTCTAAAGAAGAGGTTTTGAGAATTCTGTCCTTTCGTTCTCATCTTTTCACTGTTTCTCAATTCCTTCCATTCGCTTTCCACTAACACCTAATGGCCCGGCTCTAACTCTATCACTCATCTACTCTTCCACTCTCAAAGTCCTCACCATCTTTCCCATATTCCCTCACATTGTGTTCATACCCTCGCATACACTGTTCATTTCTCCCTTTTTGCGAGCGCACGCTCTTTCTTTCTCTCTCTCTCTCTCTCTCTCTCTCTCTCTCTCTCTCTTGCGCGCTCACGCTCTCTCTCTCTCTCTCTCTCTCTCTCTCTCTCTCTTTTGCGCGCTCACACCCTCCCTCCCTCTCTTTTGCGCGCGCACGCCCTCCCTCCCCTCTCTTTCGCATGCGCACGCCTTCGTTCTCTCTCTTTCGAGCGCTTGCCTTCTCTTTCACTTTCGCGCGCGCGCGTCGCTTCTTTCGCACGCGCGTTCTCTCTTGCGCGCGCTCTTTGTCGCGGCCTTCCTCTTGCACGCCGTCTCTCTGTCTCTCTCTCTCGCGCGCGCGCCCACTCGCTTTTTTTCTCGCGCCTTCCCTCTCTTTTTCTCGCACTGTTTCTTTCTTCTCCCTGCGCTCTCCTCAATTTATCAAAATTTGTTCATACATTTAATCATATATTCGGCATCCATTATCAGTGGACTCGTGGACTAGCACATGCGTAGCTGTTCATAAATACATACAGATCTTGCGCCAAGTGGCTCCTCCTCACGTTCTGGCGTGCGGTCTTATCGGCAACCATACGTGGAACTTCGCAGTTGCGTGCCACGGAATGGCTACAGTTCAGAGGGTGCGAGACGTCCTAAGTGGCTCTATCGTAAGGGACCGAGAGTGGGTAGGTTCGTTTTGGCGTCATGACGATTTTTCCCTTTGCATTACTGAATTAGTTTTCAAGAAAAATGGAACACATGTACATTATGATATCTTCAAGAGGGTTGTGCCATTTTTTAAAAAAAGAAAATCATCTGTGATTAGAAAATTCAACGTTTCGCTGCATTTCGCTTGGTCTTTCCGTAATCACTTGACTTATACAACTCACATTTTATCATAAATAATTAACATGTTAATTGGCATTAATCCAATAAAAACAATCATGTTTCAGTATATTTAAATTGCGTTTTGAGTGATTTAATATTAATTTTATATTTTAGTTCATTATTTTTTAATTAAATTATTTTCTTCTAAATTTTTCAGTTACATTGTTTCTTTACCTGACCGTGCAATATACCTGAGTTATAGAAATGCATAAAAAATCATCTTGTTGTAATAGTTTTCAAATTTCGTGGTCCGAAAATTGAAAAAACAAAACAAACAAAAAACTTTTGGATGTCGAACTTAGTGCATTTACTTGGATATTTGGTGTTTTATTGCTGATATTCTGAGTTGTGAAGTTCTTTAACGTAATATAACGTTTGTAATCCTGTATTGTTAATATCGATTTAAGCAACCAGAGGAACGAAAAGCTACTCTTAACGCCTGACACAGTTTAGGATTTTTCGTAATACTGACCGTTAATATATCTACATAACACAACCCCACAGAGAACTGAACACGTAATCTTAATGACCACATGCCGTTAAGAAATTGACGGTCATCGCTGTTACGAGGCCACCGGATTTTCAAACTATTTATTAACATCAATAAAAAATTGTTATATTTATTAATTAAAGTATAATATTTATTTAACTTTGAAAACAGATGACAACTGTTCAAATATAGTATTCTTATTTTTAACTTATAATTTCTCATTATAGTAAATCTGAATAAGTTACTGAACAATTATTATTATTATTATTATTATTATTATTATTATTATTATTATTATTATTATTATTATCACTTTCTCTGCTTTAGCAGGGAAAACATTCACCTGGCCAATTGATATTATAGGACTAGGCTGGGACTTCGTAGGAAGAAAATACATCCTCACCTACATGAATGTCACGCATTTAAGAATTTTCTAACAATATGACATAATTGAAGAAGCGTGGCTTTCTGAGCTTCGTCAAAGATATTTTTGATATCTAAATTCTCCAGATTTCTTTTCAAGTTCCTGCTGACGACTCCAACTGATATGACCATGGGGAAATGAGAGACCAAAAGAGAGCAAGTTCCAAAGGATTTTTGGTTCAATTGCAAAGTTCTCATAGTTTCTCTTCTCTTCAAAGTTTTCTAATATTTTGCTCTTCGATTATTATTATTATTATTATTATTATTATTATTATTATTATTATTATTATTATTATTAATAGTAATAGTAGTATTGTTTTTGTTGTTGTTGTTGTTGGTGGTGGTGGTGGTGGTGCTGCTGTTGTTGTCAATTTCTTGTCTTCATAAGAAGTCGAAGTTCAGACGTCAACGTGCTTGAATCTCTTGATGTTGATGCAACCTCTTCGGTGCTGAATAACTGTTTAGAAATTTTAATTCAGTTCGATACCAATTGTTTTACCAAATATTTTTCTACTACTGACAAGGACTCCCTACCTCAAAGGTGTTTCAACGAGAGTAGATCGCCACCGTTTACGACTAACATTGTGGACGATGATCTTTGAAAACAATGCTCAAGAGTGTATCTTTTTTACCAATTCCGCCATATTTTTGGAAGTGTCTCCTATTGTGTGTATACCATCAACTTGTTTAGTGCATTTTCCATTTCTATAATTACAAAAAGGCATTTCGTTTCTAGGAGAGACGGGCGTAGGTAAGAATATTTTTAATTAAATCATAAGCATTGAATGGAAGCCCGTCTTTGGGTATTACTAACATTCAATTTCTTGTTTTTGTGCAATTCAGTGTAACTAGCACTCCGTTGTTCGTGGTTTCTATATCATCAATAGTCAATAACACAAGTTCATCTCGTCGACATGCCCTGAAATACCAAAACTTACTTTTTTGTTATTATAAAATTACTTCTTGTAATTTTCCTGTAAATATCCATTTGCTTTCAGTAAACATTTTATAATACGTTTTTACGATAAAATCTTGGTCTTGAAAACGTCGCGTATGAAGCAAAAATCGTATAGATTTGAAATGGAAAATGACGTTGCACTCCTACGTATTAAAAGTAAATGTGTTTCTTATTTATATTATTTTCTTACAAGGAGATGGTATTACGAAAAGTAATGAACAACACACGGCCGATATCACAAATAACAGACTTGGTTAGTTACAAACCTCTGCTATCGCCTGGTTTACGAACTTCAACAGCGTTGGTTTTTTTGGTGTTTATCGGCCTGATGACGTTTGTAACTGTAACTATAACTATCCGCCGTCCATTAAGAGCAATGGAAACAAATGTGTTATAGATAGAGATGGGGAATGAGTACATTTATTTAAAAACAATTTCTTGTTTTTATAGTTTTTTCTTATATCAATATTATAAAAATATTGAATGGCACACGGCCGATAACACGAATAAGATGGCTTTCGCCTCGTTAACATCTAAACCGTTAAAACTGTATGACGAGCTACGAGGAGAATGGTACACAGTTTTTTAATTGTGGGATCCCAACCCTCAGCAATAAACTAGTTGAATTCTGAATACAGAAAGAGAGAAGCATTTTTTGGCAAGAATGTATAAGAAAATTCGTTCATGCATAATAACAACTACAAATATCAACCGCGTCTGTTCTTTTTCTATTTATCAGCATAATTACGTTTATAACTAATTTGTTTTTGATGTTTGCTGTTAATGGCATTTGAAAGATAGTGTGCCAAATGAAACTTTTTAAAACAAATTAACTTAGGTTAGCAGAGATAAAACAACTATTTTCGACTATTTTTTGTTCTTTTTTCGGTCTCAAGAATTGCAACATACGTCTCGAAGAAAGAATTGATGGAAATCCTACAAAGATATTTGAACAATTAGAGATAGAAGATTAAAGAAACATTGCACATTTATAGCCGTTCAATTCGTTTTTATGAACACGAGATTAGTACATGGAAAGTATAATAACACGACAGGAACGGGGAAT